AACCTCACCCTGCTCCTAAGGTCGAACATGTGTATGGTTCGGATCCCTACTCGCAGATTCGTCATCTCCACTGACAGAGTTTGTCCAAGGCGGCTTGAGGAGACGAAGGATGATCAGAGAATTTTGTTGTTAGGTTTTAGTGGAGAGGAGGACCATACCAAACGGTATATATGCTGTATATATGCAGTATATTTATACTTTTTCTTGTTGTTTGTGTAGTTGCAGGTATACATACTGTATATTTTTCGTATATATACTGCTTATTTTTTTTTCGTATGCACATTATTAGAGTGTGTATAGTTTGAATATTTTGTACGAAAGATTTGAATTAAAAATCATAAAAATCGACATGATTCTAAGTATATATATTGTATATTTTGTATATATATATATATTGTTTATATTCTGTATATTTTCTGTATATGTTGTGTTCCCCACCATTTTGTTGCTTAGAAAATGGATGACGTTGCTCGTGATTGACGCTGCTCGTGATGGGATGACGTTGCTCGTAATGGACGACGCTGCTCTTGTTTAGTTTAGAGTTTTTTTTTTTTAATTAATGAAAGAATCCCGTCAGTTACGGGATTCTTGGGATGGTAACTCTTTATTTTTTGTTTGGTAGTTATATTATAGTTATCTAAATCATTATGTAAACCTACGCATACTTACAAATAAGTTTTTATTTTTGTATTTAAGCAATTATTTTAAAATTCTTAACGTAGAAGTTCAAATCAAGTCCAATTGCCATTAGGTTTCATCTAAGTTTGTAGCCCAAACATCGTCTTAACAACAACGAGCCCAAAACCATACTTTTGGGCCTTTTCATCTAACTGAGTTGGCCGAATTTGAAATAGAATCTACTCCACGACCCAATTAACAGAACCATGAACGAAAAGAAAAAAAAAAATTCAATCAAATCCCCTTCCCCTTATATATTAATACAGAACGCGCTGAGCCTACGTGGCTGCTTCTGGTGTTTCAGAATCCTATGTGGCAAAATTACATGCTTCGTTATTAGGCTTGGGTAAATTTTAATTTAATTCCAAACCAAAAATAATTAGGTTCGGATTACCGTAAATATGTTGATTATTTATGGTTATGTTACATGTATTAATTGTATTTTAATATCATTCCTTATTATAACTATTGAATTAGATATATATTTTAAAAGTTAATAACTTTTGTATTTTTTATCAGTTTTACATATGTAATATATCAAATTAATCTTCTTTTGATGAGCTTCGATTTAACATCCATATTGTATGTATAAAAAATAATTTATATTTATCTTTATAACAATAATAAAATTACTTTTAATATCAATTAGAAAAATAAAATTATTTATCAACTAATATATTTATATTTCAAGTAGTTATATGATATAAGTTATAAAAACTAATATAATATAACACATATAAGTCATAAGTAACACATATCATTCCAAAATATATAGTAATATATTTTTTTTGTAAAAAAATAAACTAAATTTTATATAGTTTTCTCATTAATTTTAAAATTTAAGAATAATTTTTTAACAAGCACCCGTGTAATATACGGGTGTTGTACTAGTAAAATAATATTACTATAGGGTGAGTCCAAGAGTTAAAGAATAACAAGTTTTTCATGCCCTAAAATAGAATAACCGCTTAGCCCTATAAAATCTAAGATTTTTTCAAAAAAATGATAAGATCTGATAAAATCAGAAAAGTTTGAGAATATGGGCCGACGATTTGCACATTTAAATTCCGTATTATTTCACGTAAGAGTACACATAGAATACCAAAGGGGGTTATTCATGTTCAATCAAGTTTCAATAATACTATTGTCACGGTTACAGATCTACGAGGTCGGGTGAAAAAAAAAAAGGTGAACAATTTTAATAACCTTACAAAACACTTTTCGATCAAAGGTAGAGAGTGATTATGCTGTCACTGTCCCAATTAGGCATCCCATGTTAAATAATTTTTGACGTGAAGTTTAAGAAAAAAAAAATATTTATATTTTTGGCGTGAAGTTTAAGAAAGGAATATATTAGAGTATGTAGTTTAGGAAAGTTTTTGAGTTGGTTTGGATTTTTTTGTGTGGTTTAGTTAATTTTGAAAATATGGTATGGTTAGTTGTTAGTGGATATATTAAAATAATATTAAAATAAAATAATTAAAATCAAATTGATGTAAAAGTAAGAGAGAAGAGATGTGATGTGATGGTTAGTTAAAATTATGTATGTAGATGAATAGTGAATTAAGGTTGATGTGGTGTGTATGAATGATTGATTAATACTAGTATCGTTGGCTCGTGCAAATATACGGAACTATTAAAAATAAATGAAATAAGGAACCAAAAAAGAATAAATTAATTTTATATGCAATTAAAATAGACTACTATATACATTGTTTATATCTGTATATTTTATTTCTCATTATATATCAGTATCTTGTGTCTTTTTATTTGTAACTCGAGAAACAACAATGTAAAGTTCAAAATTAAAAGCCTAAAAGTAGATTCCTATATATATATATTCTTTATTTTTTTTATTAATAGATCAAATTGACATAGTATTAACGATTTTTTTTATATAGTTTTTTTTAGTTTTTTATATAGTTTTCCATGAATTTAACGAATTTCTTTCTAAAACCGTTATTTAATTATTTATTTATGAAATCTAACGATGTGGACCAAAATTTATTGATAAACGAAAAGTTGAGTAACTAAATTGATTTAATTAGAACATCATGTTCTAAATACGCAAATATATATAGTTGGGGTATAAGAAAATTCTCAAATTATTTTATTAACTTAACACATTCTATTAGAGTTTGTTTGAATTTATCATGTAATTTAGATCGTATTTTGACACTTTAATATATTATTTCATATTTGTCTGGTTTTATAATTTATAATGTAATCTTATTTATTAACTATTATTTCCTACACATATACTTACAATTTTTTTATTTGTGAACCATTTTTTTATTTAAATAAGTACCATATTATTATCTAGTATCTTCATATTTTTAAGAAGACTTTAAATATAAATTCTTATTTAGCATACATCATAAATAATTCACCGTGATTCAACATATCATGTACATGTAAAAAGAAATTTACTTTTATATTAATGAAAAATCAAAACTTGAAAAAAAAAAAGAAATCCAAACAGACAAAACATTTTAAAATGGCTATCTATAAATGGTAATAACAAATTTAGGTCCACTTTTACTATTAACCTATTATTAAAAATTGAAAAAAAAAATAACGGAGGTTGAAGTACGTTTAATAAAATAATAAAAATATTGGAACTAACTTTCCATAAATAGTAATATAATGAGGGATCCACTAAAACACTTACTATTTTTATTAAGTGGATTGCCTAATTATATAATAATAGATTATTTAATTATATTGATAATAGTGGTGTGGAGTTAAAGTTGAGTTAAAAAAAAGTGGTTGTGTTAAAATGTTGGAATTTTTTTGAAAAATCTTATAAACAAACATGCTCTTAGCTCGCACGAGCATATAATTATTACAAATAGGCAGACACACGTGTAAACACGAGTTTAAGGCTATGTTTGGTAAAAAATAAGCTAGCAGATAACCGATAATCTAGCTGATAGTTTATCAGTAATTTTCGAGTTTATATCTTATAACTTATGACTTATAGTTGAAAAACTAGCTTGCATGATAAAAGTGGTTGGTAAAATTAGCTAATAAGCTAGCTGAAAGAAAAATTTCAACGAGCTTATTTGAAAAACTACTCAACAAGCTTATCAAATAAGCCCTGAACTTTGTAAAAAAAGTTCGTTTTTTGAATATAATCAAATGAATCGCACCAAATTATACGGATTGTTGTTGTTTTTTTCCTCATTTTTTTTTTATTTTCTTGATTTTTACCAAATAAAAAATGATATTGTAAAAAAAAAAGAAAAAAATTGAATCACATCACATATCTAATTCAGAGAAATGTTATGATCCTGTTATAGTAGTATCTCGTCGAGTGTTTTTTTTT